GTTTCCTGTCATCATATTCAAGAGTATTTCCAAGTCCTGTTTGGCCAGCACAGCGTTTGAGTTGGCGGCCTGCAGTGAGTGTGGAGGTTCAGAAAATAATACCAGATGAAAGACCCCGCCTGCCACTGCGGACAGGGAGAAACATGTGTCTGCAGTATGTTAGCACAGAGACATCGACGAGGAAACTTCTTGTTTTCATCTTTGTCAGAGGTTCCTTCTAAAGCTTAGAAGAGCTATAGATAGATAAATTGCTGTAATAGCTCTGAACTCAGATAGAGAGCTAAAATAAATTGGATTATATGAAATAATATTTGGTCGTTAGATTAGATTCCTCTTGTATGCAGAGCCAGCTTTGTTACAGTTATCCAAGGGAAGTATCCCTAATAGCTTCAGTGGAAGCATTTGTAGAGTATTTGCAAGTGATCAAATTGTGGCTCTCGATATCCAGCTCTGCATGTTTGTGGGCCTCCTCATCAACCTCCACTGGCTCAAGCCCTTGAAGGCTTCACCTAGTAATTTCTTAGAAGTTCATTATACTCAGTCCAACTCCTAAACTTCATAAAGCCTTGTCGGTAGCTGCAAAATTAACTTCTACAGAGCCACTTGCTTTGAGACCTCTAATGAAACCCAGTCCTTGGGTCTTCTCTAGCTCTTAGCTTTTACACTGAGACCATTTTTGCAAGATACAGTTTAGCATCCCATGTGATATAGACACTGACATATTTGCAACTGGATAAAATACCCACTTCAACATAAAGTTCCCCAAACAGCTGCCAGGATGCAGGTGTTCTCAAGCTCTGCAAAATAGTGACCCAGAGATAAAAGCCTAGTTCCAGTTAGGGTATTCAGTCCTTGCTCAGTTATGTGTGAGGCTCAGCATTATAATAGATGGTACATTCTTCTAATTTCATTTTCTTTGTGCGTATCTGTGTGTGTGGTAGGTAAAAGTTATATCCTTTACTGGACTCACTGGTACAGTTGGAAAACAACAAGATTTCAGAAAATGATATTCAGTCCTGACATAGTTAGCTTCAAAGTTAAATTCAGACTTAAGAATTATTGCTTAGGGTTTAATGAGATGACACGTAGGTCTGACCGCTTCTAAAGGAGAAGATGGCTGTCTGGCAAAGCAAGTGTGGTTGCCTCCTGTAGAAGGGAATGCTGTATAAGTGCAAGGGAGGGAGGAAAAAAGGCAATTTTCTCCTAAAAGAAAAAAAGCAAGATGTTTTATAGCCTGTGAACTTGGAGAGTTAGTGAATGATGGGAGGGAGATGATGCTGTGCTGTAAAACTAGTGTTTCTGTTAAATTCATACATCATCCTCTCAGCACAGGAATTAAAGTTCATGATTAAAGACGAGATGATGCTCATGAAGCCCACCTCAAAGGGGTTTGTGTGCCCAAAAACTTGATCTGTTTTTTTCAAGCTCTACCAGCTGATGTAATAAAAGATATGATTTGTACCTGCTAACCTCCACCTCTCTTGCCTCTGTCCTTAAACCACCAGGACACCAGCAGAGAATGGGCAAACTCCCAAATCTTTTGGGGTTTCCTTAGGTATTTTATAGAAGTTTGAAGATCCACCATGTGCAAAATGCAGTATAGATACACAGTCCTTTTGTTGCTGCAGTGTTTTACTGTTAACAGTTAATGCTGTGGAAAAGTTCTGGCCTGGTCTGCATTTTGGGCCATGCTGTTGAGCATCCCAGCATGTCTGCTAACATAATTCTGCTGTACTAGCTTAGCCCTATTGTTGTTGTTGCTGTGCTCTGATGAAAAATTGCCATCTAAACCATTATTGCATGTGTTTCTGAAGAGACCTTAGGTCTAGAATGATCCCCATCACTGTCGTGTTCCAGGGATTCACGGGATGTCTGTCCATCCCCTTGTGAAGTAAACATGTCCTATTCTCCCTGCTTGAGAAACAGGGAGATCCTAGATCCTAAAGAGCATTTTTCCAGCATTACCAAAATCGCTTTACAAAGACAGTGATAGTAGAAGCAGTTTGTAAACTATAGGAAATCTTATTGAAACCAGCACACCAAACCTCACCATCATTTCAGAAAATGATCCCTAAACTTGAAAAATATATATATATAGCTTGTCTATGATACATATCTGATGAAAAGTTTCATATAGCAAAAATGCATTTTCAAATCCTTGTGGAGACTGACAGGAAAGATCTTCTAGAATTGTTGGCAGGGGTATCAAACTGCAGGAACTCATTCTGCTTGTGTTTCCAAAATAAAATTTGACAAGTGGGAAATACGATCTGTTCTCATGCAGCTTGTTAACACTCTTGTTCGTAAAGCAAAACGCTTCATTAGCCTCAGAAGAAAAAGTTGTTCCTTGCAAATGTAAGTAATTTTCTCTTAATGGCTTTATCTTTATGATCGGTTATTGGACTGACACTCTGGCTTGTATTTCTCTGCCTATTAAGTTCTTGGCTAAATGATTTAGGTTTCTTCTGCAGACCTGTAGTGACAGTCAGGGCTCCCTGAAGGCGGATGCTTTCACCAAGGGGATGTTTTTGGATGGAGCAGAGTGCCGTGGTAGCTGCCTGCACCTACACGCTCATGCACCTACACTAACTAGCCATGCAGGACAGGCAATCCAGCCATTCTGTCCTCGGGATGCTGGCTCATCTCGGAATGGGATATAGCATTTCCTGATGACAATCGGAGTGATCTGGAGTCAGTCAGGGACACCCTGTATTGTGCCACTTGGGTCATGCAGATGTGGCTGTAATAAAACTGTAGAAACTACCTCACAAGATGCTAGAGAAACACGAAAAGTGCACTAAATGGTGGGTGCAGCTCCAGTGCCAAGGGTTCCTTGTCTATCTAAGAGAATATATTGGTGGGATTCACAGCTGTCCCTATTTTTAGTGAAAGACACTAAAGGGAAGAGGGAATATGTTGCTTAATCTAGATGCTGCCTCACCAAATTTTTTCTGTCTGGCCCTGGTCAGAAACCCAGGCCAATTTCCCTCAAATCAGAAGGAGAGGTGTTCAGAAGGCAACCTCTTTAGAAGAACATCTGAATATCTTCCAGTCAAACACCTCCCCTTCTCCATCAACAGCTTAGGCAAGCAAGAGACAGCATCAGGTTTCTTTAGCCATTGAGGAACCATGTTTATCCATTTAGGAACCATTTAGGAGCCATGTTTTGCTCATGGTACCAGCTTTTCCATCTGCTCAAGATGGGGGTGGTCTGACAAGTGTCCTCCCCAGCTGGACAGAGACTACTCTAAATGAGAACCATTGCTTTCCTTTTGGCTCCAGAAGGAAACTGGATATTGTTAAATAACTATATGTAGATTAACTCAGTTTTAAAAGGATGAGATTAGTGGCTGTCCATTTTCAAGAGATACAGGATAGGTCCCTTGCCTTCCACCCAGGAGTAAGTAGTGCCTCTCATCGCTTATACATTTTGGGTGAGTGATAACAGCAGAAAGGAGGGTAGAGCAGACTGGATCCCAGCCAGCGCTTAGTAGCTGTGATGTTGACATCAAGGTAGAAAGAGCTCCTAGTCCTGTGAAAACAGGGTTGCAGTTCAGAATGATCTGGGCAAATTGAAAGAAATATCTCCAATTAATGGGATACATAAAAAGGAAACAGCAGACTGACATGTGTAAGCAGAGTTTGATCTTTAAAAAATAGAAAGTAATGCTCCCATTTTTCTGCCTTAGTGGGAAAACAGTGAATAGTTTGGGTAGTGCATTTAAGGAAGATGTGGGCTATTTGGAGAAAGTCCAGAGAAGTTCACTAGATCAGAGAATTAGAAAATATGAGTTATGAAGAAACAGTGAGCAAATTGGTTTGTTTAGTCTAGAGAAGAGAAAATGGGAGAAGACATGATAACAGTCTTCAAATATGTAGAAGGATGCTTCAGAGACAGAGGGAATAAACTGGAAGACAGTGAAGCATGGGAATAGGTTGCCTCAGCAGTCTTCATCTTTGGGGGTCTTTAAGAACTGGTTAGCCAAATATCTGTCAACAATTATTTTGACAGAACAGGGGTGGGAGGGCTGGGCTAGACTTCTGAGTCTCCTACAATGTCTGATTTGGTTACTGGGGATCCCTTCACAATGATGGCTCTGGTCCTAATAAATGTCTTGCTTCTGCACTTTCTGACCGATTTTTATCACTAATAAACTTGGAGTTTCTACAGAATTGACTTCTGAAAATGTCGTGCCACATATAACATAGGAGGCAATCCTTGATTCCTTTGCTTCATCTACCTTAGATAGCAATGAAGGATTTACCCATCGCATGACCCAACATCATTACACTACAGTGCCTACCCTTCCAGTAGATCTCATATCTCAACAAGTTAAATGAATCAATACAATTCACTTGAAAAAAATGTACATTTACCAGAGATTTTAATATGTCTTTATCTGTTCAAGAAGCTGTCTGTACAACATCAGACAAGTTTTTAGGTCATGTAATGCTCATCTTAAGCTATTTGTACAGCCTGTGCTTCTTTAGTGAGAGAGTCCATGTATCTGGTCTACTGTAAATTTGTATTAATCATGATGGATAGCTATGTACATTGCAGGGTGGCAGGAAAATCTCTAGTGCAAACAGAAATCAGACAGGTTGGAGTGGCTCTGGAAACTGCTGAGGCTGAGGCTAAAAGTAGTCTCAACATGTTGATGTTAAATCTTCAGAAGTAAAGGCGGGAGGAAAAAGGGAATGTTTTCATCTAGGGCTGTAACGGTGACAGAAAGCAGCCACGCACCAAAAAAATAAGGTCATACCTCTTTGTAGCTGCCAAACCTCCAAGCCTTATCTATGCTTGATTTTATTGCCCCAGATTTTCCACCACTGCTGCCAGCAGTGACAACAGGGGGAAGTCTGAGGCCTTGTGTCACTGAAATCATCATCACCATAGGAGCAACCACGTCTTGGACCAGCTTTCTGCTGAGTTGAGGGCAAGAAGAGCATTAAAGGAGAGCTAAAGATCCATTCAAACCTGTCTTGTTTCTCTGTTTCAGGATTGCTGGTGATACAGCACTCAACAAAAACATCCACGAGTCTGTGAGCGCTCAGATCCGAAAGAACTTTGCAAAAAGCAAATGGAGAGTAAGTGACCCAACTGCAGGTCTGCACGGTAGAGCTTTGAGATACTATTCTGCTAAAGCAACAGCTGTATAGCTGCCCTTTTGGTGTAGCAATGCAGATTTCAGATTTTCAGACAAAGCTGCTGGTCCAGTTGCACGCAGGTTGCATGACCTCTCGGGCCTTTCATGTAGGATGCTGCGGATTGAGCGTAACAAAGGTAACTCTCTTTCCCCGCAGCAAGCGTTCAACGCCACGGCGGTCGTGAGGCACATGAGGCGGTTGCACCTCGGCAGCAGCCTGGACGGCGCGAGCGCCGGCGTCTCGAGCACCCTCAGCCTGGCCGCGCCGCTTCCCGACGGAGCCACCCGCAAGGACCGTGAGTACCCGCAGCGAGAGCCTCGTCTGGCCCCTCCGGATGAGGCTGCGGTTTCATCCCGCCAGCTTTGGGGCAGCCCAAAAGCGCCAAGGGAACCGTGTTTTTCTCTTTGATGTCCCAGCTGCAGTCCCAGCCGCCAGCAGTTTCTGCTCCGCTGGAGCAGATGTTTAAAATAAAGACTGGAAATGGACTGCGACCTTCTCTTTTAGTTGGAGAAAAAAATAAGGATAAAGATTCAGGGCAGAAAAAGCTTCTGCAATAAGAAACTGAGTTTTCAGCTCAGTGCGTTTTGGAAAGGAGACTGCTTCTCATGCAGTATATGAGCTTTTTGTCAGGGCGAAAAAAAACCCAGACCCCCACAGCAAAACATGTATTTGGTTGAAAGCTGAAGAAGTTTACTCAAAGTGTTTATATATGAGTTTTGTGATTAAAAGTTTTCAGTAAAATTGGCCTGCTTTCCCTTTCCCTTTTGCATGGAGGAGACGGATGCTGCCCGGCTGCCCCAGTGTTGTTCTTGCTGGGCCAAATTAAGCTCCTGTACTAAGAAGCTCATTTGTTTTAGCAAAACCCCGAGCCTGTGCGCCACAATGAGTCTTGGCCTGCTGCCTTTTTTGCTGTATGCTGTAATTGAGATTTTCAAGCTGCCTGATGGAGTCAGATGCTTGGGGTATATATTTTTTCTGCCAGGAGATGAGACCTGGCAGTGGAGGGATCATTTGGAAGACAGAAATGCTTCTTTGCAATGATGTTTATTTAATCCATGGTTTTGAGCACTTATTTACCAGTCCCATCTGCCCGCTTGTAGAGACTTTTGCATCCTGCAATGGAGGAAGATAAACTTGAAATTAAAAGCAAGTCTTGCTTTGGTTCCTACCTCGGTATGGTCAAGCTAGACCTCGGTTAGGTCCAGAGCATCTGAGAGCGTGTTTTGTTGTTAAATGTAATGAGCAGATAATTAGTCTGCCTGTATCCCATTAATGAACACTCTCAAATTATTGTTCATTATTATCCCCAAGTAGTACAACAGGCATGGGAAAGTACCTGTCCACCAGAAAGCTGGGAAGAGAACAAAATCCATTAAACCACAGCTGAATTCAGCAGGTCCTGTACAGCATCAGGGCAAGGAATATTTTAAAGTGATGGAGAAGTCAGCCAGAATGCAAAGGGTAAAACCAGATATGCTGAGACAGGTGAACTTTTTTTTAATGCCTGAAATACGAGGCAGAAAAATATCAACAGATTTCCAGGCATCCCAAGCTAAATCCAACAACAACAACAACAAAACTTGTCAGCAAATACAGAAGATCTTTCCTTTCCCAGAGAAATTAATTAAAGGGATCGGTTTGGAGATGCCGGTAAGCACCTTGAAGAGTGGAAAACTGTATAAAAGTTACAACAAGCAGAAAGATCCCAAGTATACACAAACCTGTAGACTGAGCATACATCCATATAGTTTTTACTCATCCTTTACTCACCAGGGAAAAAAAAAAAAAGCTAGCCATTATTTCTAATCGCTTTCCTCTTAGGGGCTCAGCTTTCTTTGCACACAGGTGCTTACAGGGCTGCTGACTGCACAAGTTGCTGCACAACCCAGGAAAATCAGAGGTGCAATTGTGGGGACTCGGCAGCCCTTGAAGGGGGTAGTTCATGCACTGGGAATCCTGGCTAAGATATATTGTAGTTCTCGACATTAATATTTTCCAGAGAAAATGCTGAGATCATGTTGGAATAGTGGACCCAAGATTCCTTCAAAACCAAGCACGTTTTGGGTTTTCAGGAGTTGCGTTTTAGAGGGTTGTGTTTTTCAAAGCTGTGGCTCAGGTTTCACCTTCTCTTGCCATTTTCATTTAGTTAAGAAAACAATTTTGCATAAAAAAAAATCTTATCAGAGGTTTTTGATTAGTTCAAAAGCAGCTGCCTGGCTAAGATTTGGGTTTGGATAGGTGGTCCTGCAGGCATGGCAGCAAAACCTGCAGTAACCTGTGTCGCTAGGATGATCTCCAAGTCAGACAAGTCTGTGTTCCCTCAAGATTTATTGGAACTCACCAATTTGTTGGGCCTGCTGTACTTTATCACCAGCTTTGCAGGATGCTAAGGGACGTTTTTTAGTGCAGATGTGCAGTCGGTTTGTTTAGCTACATCCAGTGATGAGAAAAGTTTAGTCACCTTGAATATGCTCATGAGGAGAATTCTTCTGAGCAAGGATCATTCCGGTGGGAAGTTTGAAGGACTCTTTATAGCAGCAGACAAAATCGAGGTCTTCAGCCATGGAGTTGGGGAATCGGTCTGTAGATACCAAAATGGGATGTTTTTCACCATCGTGCCACATATGTACGACCGCCCGGGGTATCAGCGGGTGAAGGGCTGCTTGGCAGGGACAACAGGAGACACCAGGTTACCCCGTCACGGTGGGCAGGGTGGGCTCTGCTCCACTCAAGCGCTCCAGGAAGGGAACTGCAGCTTTGCCCCCAGATCCCCTTTCTAACAACCTTTCCACCTTCCCTTCCAGGTATGTCTCCATCCACTCTGTGTAGTTTTGTTTCATCCGCTTCTTCGGGCGTTTCTGCAGTAGGAGGGGACCGGAGACCCAGACCCACCACAGTGACAACAGTGCACACAGGGAGCAAGTGACGGGCGCAGGCGGGAGCAGCGTTCCCGGCGTCGGCGCCGGCGGGTTTCTCGGAGCGATCCCACCCTGCATCGCGCGCTCAGCGAAGGACTAGAAGAAAGAAGATTTTTTATGGCCATATTTTATACTGCAATTCTGAAATGTTTCATTTATCACAAACTGCAATGACTCCGGGGGAATGGATCTCACAGTCTCTGGTGCTGTACATATATATACATATATATAAATATATATATATATATGTGAGTCTAGCAATGATCTAACTAATGAACACTCATTCTTTTCCCCAGCGATTTACTCTTTTCTCAGTGTAGGTAACAGTATATGTTGTATTTTTTTTTCCATTAACTACGAACATCTCAACTGGATTATTTAAATAGAGATACTTTTCTGAGCATTATATATATATATTTTTTTCTTTTAAAAAGTACTTCCAGTAATGTTCCTCCTTCCAGTTTGCTGGGGGATAGGCTATTTCTGTAAGTAGGAATATACATTAACTTTGCAACACAGGAGGATTGCAATGGCATGCCATTTTTAATGCCTCAAATTGGACTGCGAATCTGTCTGGCTTTAGCAGAGCTGATACTGCTCAGATTAAGAAAAACTGCTGCTTTCCCTCCCCTCCTCCTCCTTGAAAGCCATGGCGAGAGTGAAATTGCCCCCAGCTGGAAGCTCAGATTTGGTGCCTTTCGGGAGCTCACGGGAGCAGAGCCAGCAGAGCGGTAGAGTCCCATTTTGCAGCTCTTACCCCTTCCGAAGTCCCTTTGGGCAAGAGGAAAGGATGATGTGGGGCCCAGAGTGCTGGTTTTGTTCTGCCCCAAGTCCCTGTGGGAGCCTTGGTGAGATGTTTAGCTCAGCAGCCTCCAGGCCTGGCCTTGGCCTTGGTCAAGGTCTCCGCTCGGCTTCAGCTGTGGATGCTGGTGCTTGGCATCCTTGGGGGCAGCCGCTGCTTAAGCCACTAAGATACTGGAAACCAAATGGGGACGTTTGGACCTTAATTTCTATGTTGTGCCTGGGTTTCACCTCCTAGAAAAGGGCTGGCGCTCTCCCGCCTCCGCGCAGCACTTCCCAGGCGCCAAGTGTGGGATCCGGGAGCATCCCGGCTCCATCGCCGGGAGCAGCGGCCGTGAGCAGAGCTTGGAGACGTGGGGGCACTGACTCCCTACCCCTTCCACCCTAGGGGTTCATCTACAAAAGCTAACTTAGTTATTCTGTTTTTGTTTTTATTTTGTTGCTGAAACACATGCACTTCCCAGGCCATGCGTGCTGGTGGGTCATTTAGGACCAGCCACCGTTCCTGCTGTGCAGCAAGTGCATTAAACAGCTTGGACTAGAGAGGAGACCTGTTAACTGTCTGCCCTCCGTTACTGGATGCCTCCAGGTTGCTTTTGTGCCATTCCCAGCTCCGGTTTTCTTTCCAGGAGGAGGAGAGGGAGGTGGACAGGAGGAGGCAGCTGCTCCTGCTCTGGCCTGCAGAGAGGCACAAGCCATTCCCCCCGAATGGGCTCTCCTGCCACATTCGTGTCATTTACCCCGTGCAAGAAATTGGGAAAGCCAGTCACAGACACAGCTGAATGTATATGGCATTAGTGACCGCGCTGCGATAAGATAAGATAAGCCATAAGATACTTTTCCTTGAGACTTCAAAACCCTGCTTCGGTTGTTTGTCTTCTGCCAGGATTTCGTCCATCGTGCTTGGAGTGCTAAGGGCTGCAAAAGCTGGTGCCAAGGAGCACTGGCACCACTCAAGGAGGTGGCACCGCTCTTTGGTGGCACTTGGAGCTGGCACACACAGTAGATCTCCAGTTTCCTTGGTATTAACCTGTTCCCAGATTCCAGAGAGGACAGAGTCCAAGTCTCCTGGGAGTTTCCATCTCCAGCATGACCAGATAGCCACCTGGGAAACCTTGTGGCTGAGGCCACCTTAGAGAGCCAGGTCTCCAGCTTGCAAGAATTGCTCATCACTAGAAATGTCCGCTGGGTTGTTGTAGTTTGGGGCATCTGTAAGTCCAGCCCAAAGCCTGTTAGTGATGTGTGTGACCTGTGGTAGACCTACTCAGGCTAAGGTTGCCGTGGCAAAGTTGAAAAGCTGCAATATTCTTGTTTTAGGAAAGATGCCAGATGTGAGGTCTCTCTGAGGTTGGTAGCAAAGCTCCATATGACTTCCCTGGTGAGGTCTTCTGTCCGAGACCTGGGCAGACCAGGTCCATGGGATCTCCTTGCTGTAGGGCTCACTTCCATGCCCTTGTCCCATACACAGCTCAGCTGGCCATGGTCTGCTGCAGTTGCCTCTATGTAAAGTCACTGGCCTTCTCGGTACTTACCTGCAACCAAGAGCAGGATTTGGATAGGGAAATTGTTGATCTTTGTACAGTTTTGCATCAGACTGGGGTCCAGAGTCCCCTCTTTGCAGTCTCTTCCAAAATCTGAGGTTGAACTTCATTTAGTAGCTTTGGGCGTGAATTGAAGTACAGCATCCAAACAGAAAGAACAAGAAAAATGGGTTTCCACCTCCGAAGCCAAGAGCAGAGCTGCAAGCGAAGGCAGATTTGGGCTTCTGCAGCCAAGGGGAGGCCCCTCGGTCCCACACTGTGGCTGCCCCTCTGTGCTCGATGCTGCCTGTATTTGGCACTGGCAGGGGTGTTCTGCTGTCCTTCCTAGCCTGGAGCTAGGGCTTCTTCTTTCCTGTAAGTAATATTCTGGTATAGTTGTGTAATTTATCGTCATTCTCTTTGGCTTGTTACCAACCACTGAGATCTTAAGATGAGAAACAGAAGCACTTGAAAGCAAAATTGTCTCTTTCTGCTGCAATTTTGGGCGATGGGAAGCTGTTTTGTTTGTTTGTTTGTTTGTTTTGGTATCAGTTAAATAGGGCTGGAGATCTAACAGGTGGTCATGACATGCAAAGGGTAGAGATCTTTATTGCTGTTGAGTCATGAACTGCCTATCTCTTGGTTAAAAACTTCTTAAATCTGTGCAAAGCCATTAGCCAGGATGACTTCGCTGAAGCCAGACCCACAGGAGGGCTTCACAGCGCCAGGTTTGCAGATTTGGCTAGAGGTGTGGAAGTTCCTAGCCAAAAGGCAGATCCAACCCAAATCCACAGCCAACCTTACCATGAAGGAGCAAGTAGAAAAATCATTCTGGGCTCTTCCCAAGCGGAGCCGTCTTACTGTACCACAGTTCCCTCCTGCCAGGAGGACTTCAGCCCGGTCTTCCCTGTTTGTCACCCTTTCCTGCTTTACTTTACAGGCACCAACGTGCTTATGATTTGTGAGTTGTTTTCCTCAGTTCCTTCCCCTTCTTTCTCTTTCCTTGCAGCTCTGCTTGTTGTTTTTTGTCCCCCAAGCCCCAGAGGCCATCTCTTATGGCCACAGCGTGTTACTCTGTGAAAAAATACTCTAGCAAACCTGCTGATTTTTGCACGTGACTTTTATTGCTGGTGCCTCCTAACCCTTTACAGGATCCAGCTTGTGCAATGCCCAGCAGGTGTTCTTGGGAAAGGAGTTTTGCCTCCGTTAGCATGGTTATTATTCCCACAACCCAAGGCTGAGAACTGCATTCACTCAAGCAAAGAATGGAAACACACCCGGAGACTGACGTATCCAAGCAAAACAACGTGGAAATTGGGAACGGCTGCAGATCTGCTCACATAGAGGATTAGCTGGCAAATTCCTTCCGGGGAGCCTTGGGTGAGGAAGTGGCAACTTGCTCCCAAGCATTTTGCGAGCGGGATTTCTCCGGGGAAGTTACTGATTGCAGATGACTTGTCCAGCAGTCGTTTTACCCAACCCTGTCAATTTATCCCTCCTTCCCTGTAGCCACGTCCTGCCTTTAGATCCCGTGTTTGGGGCAAGCTGCTGCATATGGGACACGTATTACGGCCCCAGGGGTGGCAGCTCCCACCACTGCTTGAAAATCAGGAGCCAGTTCTGGGTTATTTGTAGCTCCGACTTTGCTCAGTTGGATCAAAGCTGTGTAAATAGTGTTTGTGATCAAGAATAAGGTCCTTATCCCGGACTCTGGTTTTCAGGACCCCTTTTCCACCACTGTCGGTGCCACTGATCTGTCCATGTAGTGATTTTTTGTCCTCCTCTCCGTAAAGGGCAAGGTCAGAGGAGCAGCGCTCACGTTTTTCCATGCTCCAGAGTGGAAGCAGGGCATGTGTGCTTGCAAACAATGTGAAAAAATAACACTGCTGATCTAACAGTGACATCCAAATGTCCAAAAAATGCATGATACTGCACTGCATGTAGTAAACTGCTGTTCACTGTTTCTGTATCTTCCAAACCTTTTCTTTTGGCGTATTCAGGCCAACCTTTTCTTCTAGGGATTTCTGAGTTTTGCTCTTAAATGCTGTGGTGTATCTGTAACTCAAAATCCATCATTAAGTTTGAGTAAATGCAAAAGCTGGTGTTTTGTGAACAAGATACTGCAAAGCCTGATATTGTGTTTTTTTCTTTCTGCTGGATGCTCTGCAGCTTGCACAGGAAGATTCACCATCCAGAGATGTTTAACCTAGGTACAGGGAGTCAGGATGGGGCCATCCCTCTTCGAGTACAATGTTTAAAAAAAAAAAAAAACACATCATCTACTCTGAAAAATCCTTCCCTGGGTCACTAGCACTCAGGACTGCCAAGAAGCACATTCGTGCATCTCTTTGGGGCTTTTTTTTTCTTTTTCTGTCTTTTGGGGTTTGGTTTTCCTAGGCAGAACTAAGACTGGTTGACACAATTCTTGATGCCGTCCTCTTTCTATGAGACATTTTGTTTTTGCAGAATGAGGTGCATTTGGGGGACTAAGATGCTGTGATCTTTTTGCCCATGCGAAATAGTTTCAAGAACTGAGCTAATTAACCCTCCTTTCCAAAGCACCTCTTTTTCTCCTCATGCAAATACTTGTAGGGAATCCTTGAAGCTCCACGTGCTCGCACCGCCATGTCCCTGCCCAAGGGCTTGTCGTGGCACTTTTCCTTCTTCCACCTGGAGATCATTCCCTTGCCTTCTCTTCTAATCGGCTCGTTTCCACTTGCTCTGGGCTTTCTGAGGGCAGGGTATGTCAGGCCGCATCGTTAGTCCTGGTTCAGTGCTAATTCGTGTTGCATTAGCATGGAAGTGGCTCACGTTGCCAAAGGCGGGAGCAGAGCAGAGAGGGATGAGATCAGCACCGCAGTAGGACCCTTGCCTGGTGTAGGGAGTGAGCGTAAGTACTGCAAACACCCCCACCAAGGGTCTGCCCGGGGCTTTGCCCCCCTGGCCATAAATCCCATGGAAAGCCCAGGCTTGGCCGGACCACGGCTGTTCCTGGCTCTTGGTGCTCATGTGAGCTCTGAGCTTTTGCATCCTTCGTCTGCATCCCGGCACCGCACGCGTTACGTCTCGCTGGGTCCACGCGGGTCAACCCCAGCTATACACAAAGGGAAGAGCACGGGAGGTCATTAGCTCAATGAGAGCTCACGTTTCTGGTTGATGCCACCGCCGTGATCCCGTTGGCTCTGTCCTCTCATTGAGAAGCAGCATTTTGGTCAGCTTGGGGCATTTTATATATAAATATATTTGTTTTGGGACCGCAAACAAGGCAACAAAAGGCCCAGTCTGCCCAGAGCGATGACTCCTCAGATGTCCCCAATGAGAAACACCCCTCCATTTACTTTTAATGAA